CTTTTTAAGTTACTTTAGACTAGATTAGGTAAAATAAGTAATAACAATATAATTAAAATGGTTCATGAGGCATGCACGCAAGCAGCTCATGGGTAATGTAAATCACTTGGGGAATGTGCAGCTCACGTTACGCTATTGAATTACAACTTATAATGGTGCAGATAGTAGTTAGACACGGTTCAGAGGACAATAAAACAATAAAATTTAATTATAATTAGATGTATAATGTTACGAACTTAGAGCTACTTAGCATAAACGAATGTAGTTTCATGTTACAATTTGAAGTCATTCTAGAAAGAAAAGAAGGTTAACTTAGGTTTATTTTGATTTTTTCTTTGGTGGTTACAATGTCAGTCGAATTGACCAATCCCGTTTTGAGATAGGGTAGAGAAAATAACATATAAACTATAAGGATTTAGTGAAAAAAAAACCTTTGAAATCTATTTAGAAGATTTGAGGGATTACACAAAGGAAATTTGAGATTTTTGAGATGACGAAAATAATTTTTAATTTTAACAAGTTATTTTGCACACGAACTATTCAAAACAAATACTCGATATATTCTTGGACAATTCTTTATTTCATTTTATTAAAAATACTTCACTAAGAAATATGACTTTTTGTATGTGAAAGACTTGTAATATTAACTGAAAGACTGCCAAATTTCATGAAGATATACCCAATATATAGAGTTATAAATATAATCTATATCAACTTCAAATGAGTGCAAAAGGTCACACGACTCGGTCAAATTGACCAACTGCATGTTGGGAGAGTTAAACACCTTCGTCCAAAGTGGACTCTTCGGACATTAATAACAGATTTAAATAAGGTGTAACGGATAAGAATTTACACACACAAAAATTTAACAGAATAAGAGGGATGAAAATCATATATGTAATATTTTACTTTTTAGTCTATTTCTCTCATTGAAAACATTTTGTAAAATGCAAAAATTAAAACTGTCCATTACAACATAAGACCAGATGTTCACTCAATGTTATACACATAAAATTTTCCAATTTGCACTTTATGTTGACATTAACCAGTTTAAAAGTGATTCTCTTCCAGTTTGAAAAAAAATCATTCGTCATCATCTCAAGTGTTCACTGTCACATTTTTTTTCCTCCTTAGAAACTTTACACGCGTTTAACATTTTTTAGTTATTCTACAGTCTTAGATTGTGTATTGTTTTTCTCCATTATAAATTCCTTCAGCAGAGACATGATTTGATATTGTTACATTTGTTTATTTTATTGAAATATCTTGCATGCTTCACACACACACACATATATATTATATATAGTTATTTATGTTACCAATTTTTAAGAGGAACTGACATACAGCATCTATAATAATAAGAGGGTGTTTCTGTGACCACCATAACTTCAAGGAAAGAACCTAGAAACCTGAAATTTTGCACAAATACTAAGTGGACTCTGAAGGTGTGCACCTATGTATTATTACTTATCCATGGGCACATGCATATCTTTTAATGAGGCAATGTAGGGAAAAATCACATAGAAAAGAATCTGACCATCAAATCACCAAGAGGAAAGAGCCTATAAACCTGAAATTCTGCACCCATACTAAGTGAAACCTGAGGGTGTGCACCTCGGTATTACTTAATATCATCAAATTTTGCACCCATACTAAGTGAAACCTAACGATGTGCACCTGAGTATTGCTTATCTTATCCACATGTGTGCACACATGCAGGTGTAGATCTTTTAATGTGGCAAGATACCAAAGAACCACATAGAAGTGGTGCCTTATATAACAAATAGAAATGAGACAGAACAGACATGCACAATCATGCATGTGTGTCTGTGTGTGATAACCATAGCTCCAAGAGGATAGAACCTAGAAACCAGAAGTTTTGCACCCATAGTAAGTGGACCCTGAGGGTGTGCACCTGGGTATTACTTATTTATCCACTTGCGTACACATATGCACATCTTTTTAATGAGGCAAGCTAGCAAAATAAACACATTTAAAGAAGTGGTTCCTTATATAACAACTTCTAATATATAGAAAAATCATGACTTTTATGCTATGTTGCTTAGAAACTAAAGTATATAGGTTATACTTTTATGCTAAAATGGTTTTAGAATACAAATGCTATCAACCTAATAACCAGAGTGAAGCCAGGTACTTTTTGCATGTGCACATCTTTTTATGCAAAATTTGCACACATAAGTGGATCCTGAGGGTTTGCACCAGGATATTATTACTTATTTATGTGCATGCATGCATGCACATCTTTTTATGCATGCCTGTGTATGTGTGACCACCATAGTTCCAACAGGAAATAA